ATTTCAAATCGTATTAAAGTATCTCTTGAAACAAATAGAAACTTAAAAAGAAGTGCTAAAGAAATAATTGATGAGTTCGAAATTGATCAATGTGAATTCTCATTATGTGTACTTGTTAGTGATAAAAAGAAAATATGGATTAGTAGAAAAAATAATTCAAAAAAAGATTATTATGACCATTATCAAGCAACTAGAGGAAGAAAAGAAATATATGAAACATATCAACAATGTGCAATACATGAAGCAAAAGAAGAAGCAAATATTATACTTACTGAAAATAATTTAAAATATGTTAACTTAAGCAAAGGATTTAGAGTTTTTCCAGATGATGATAAAGAAGTTTTATATTCAACTGCTATTTATTTTGCAAATATTGGAGGTCAAGTTCTAGAACATACAGAACCAGATAGGAATAACAAATGGGAATTAGTAGATCTTAAAGATTTATTCAAGTTTACTTTAACTAAAGCTTTACAAGAGAATTTACTAAAGATCATTGAGATAATTAACAACGTGATCAAACCAAATAGTAGAAAAAGAAAAAAACAAAATATAGTAGAAAGTGAAAATCATATTATTGAAAATAATATTAATGATAATAGTAGTAAAATGGAAAAAAGTATTGCGACTAGTCCAATAGTTGAATAGATTTTTTTAACTTTTATTTTTTTATTTAATAAACATAATCTACTTAGTATTTTATACCAAGTAGAATTTTAACAATGTAACTTAACAACAATAGATCATCTTAAAAATTACAAATATTTACTCGAACAACTGAATGAAGAATTAAAAAAACAAGATATTTGATTTTCAATTATTTTTGAAATAAAAAAAATGTTAATTCAAGAATCAAAAAAAGATTTTACTACAGGATTAGATGTTTTTGATGTAGTTAATGCTACGATTAAAACATTAAAAACTGAAACTATTATTCTTTTAAACAAAGTTTTATTGAAGATTAAAGAAGATAAAGAAGATTATGAATTCGAAGAATATCATTATAAATATGAAAGATTACAATTTCTTAATGTAATATTATAAAGTAAATATTATTATATTCTGTTCAGTAAAGATTACCGAACAGAAATTTAATCATGTAAAAAAAAATGTCTCAAGAATCCGAACAGACTAATTATAATTTGTATCAAATACTCTTTAATCATCATAAAAATGAATTAGATGATGATACAATCATCTCAATTGTTGTTGATTATATAAAATCAAACCAGAAAAATTCTAAAGAAATTATAAATGAAGATATTATTACATCGAATCAAATTGATTTTAAGAATATTTACGAGGCATTACAAGATTGTATTTATTATTCAGATTTCGATATCTTAAATGAAGTTAAAGTAGATATGTTTTCATTTGATTCTGAAGATAGTGAGGTAAAACGTGAGTTGACAGAAATTTGTAATCAAATTTTAAAAGAATATGAGAATGAAGTTTATGTATCTGTAAACAATGAGGGATGGAGACATTACTTGTTAAAAAAAGGAAAATTAAATGAATATATAGTCAAATATAGTGAAAAATATTTTCAAAATAATCAAGAAAATGAATATATTGATAAAGAAAATGAAGAATTTGAATTTTGTATAATATTTTTTTTTATATATTTTAGCAAATATAATCTATCTAGTGAATAATCACCAGATAGAATTTTATCTACGTAACCTATAATGATGCCTGAATCAACAAAGGTAAGGTTTTTCTTAATCTTACTTAGTACTGAGATCTTGTGCACGCTGCTACTAGAACATATTGGTTTGATTCTGAATTCTGTTCATAAATATTTGTCAGATGATTAGATAAGGATCAGATTAGTGTTCGAAGGATGTGGTGAAATTTCATAGCATTGTAGTGAAAAGATCTCATGGTTCAAAATCTGTTTGTTGAATGTAGTGAATTTTCATAGCATGATACAGATGTACTAACATTTTTTTAAAAAATATAGAAAAGAAAAAAATCAACAACAGAAATTGGAGATAATTATGAAACAAAACTAATGATCGACCTTGTTCAAAATGGGTTTAATGCATATATTACCAAGACAAAAATCAAGAAAGATGGGAAACTGATATGCGTTGGGGATGGAGGAATTGATTTGTTTGGAAGTTATATGAATATGCATTATATAATTCAAGCTAAATGTAGAACTGATGAAGAATCATATATTCCTCCTAGTGAAATTAGTAAATTCATAGCAGTTTTGATGCAACAACCTGAAAATACAGTAGGGTTTTTTGTATCTAATGCAAAATATTCAACAAGATCTCAGAATCTTGCAAATAATTCTAGAGTAAAATTGATATTATGCAATGATGATAATTTAATCAATAAAATCAAAGAAGTGCAGAGATTATATCCTGATTCAGATCGTGATATTATAAGTATTGAAGATATAACAACTGATGAAAACACAAAAACAGAAATATTTGGTATAAAAATTGAAGGAAAGATTAGGATAGGAAAACTTAGAAAGATTAGATCTATAACTCCTTACTGATGTTGTACTTTATTTATTCAGTGTATCACACCGAATAAATTTTTATTTAAGTAATAAAAAAATGTTTAAAAGAAAAACTACAAAAGTTCTGAAAGAACTTGAATTATCGTTAATAAAGTTACGTGGTATTATTAATGATGAAAAAGAATATATATTTGAGATAGGAAATATGACTGAAGCAGAAAGAGTCTTGATTGATAAAGAAATCGATGATACTTTTCAGATTGTTAGACATGAGTTTCAACTAGATTTTGAAAAGAAGATTGAACAAGAAACTTTCAAACGTTTAAAGAGAAAGTATCCAGATCAGATTCAAAAAATTAATAAAAAACCAAAAATTGAAAAAGCAAAAGTTATCATTTTAACAGGTGGAATCGGAGTTGGAAAGACCACATTTGGAGAAAAATTTGCAAATTATCTAGAAGATGAAGGATTTAGAGTATATCGACCAGTTGAGACATCATTGAAAATAAAACGTGAATTAGATTTATTCTATAAAGATGTTGAAGGTCGTGCTTTGTTTTTCCAATATGTGATCTTAGAAACTTACAGAAAAGAAGTAGAAAAGATAAATCAATTAACTGGTTATGATTATGTGATCTTTGATCGTACACATATTGATACTGAAGTGTTTACTCATCTTAATATAAAAGAACATGATATTTTAGACTATTTACAAGAGAGAAGGTTAGAAATTGATCTTAAAAATATTCACAAGGTTATTTATATTAAACCAAGAATTGAAAATATGTTGAAACAACAAAAAAAAAGAAATTGACCAGGAGAAACTACAGATGTTGAGTATTTAACAAAGTTGTATCAAGAATATGATTCTAGAATCATAAAAATGTATCCTGAACATATCAAGTTCGAGAATAATTGTTCTAACAAAGAGGATCATAAACCAGCTGATTGTTGTTTTAAAGAGTATAATTTAATGTTTGAAAAACTTATATCATAGCAATATTTTATTTTTTTTTGTATATATATCTGTTTAGTAATTATTTACCGAGCAGAAAGTTAATTATGTAAAAATGTCTTTACCTGAATCTTCAAGTGATTTATCTTCTGATGATTATTCTTCAGAAGAATTTGAAAAAATAGAATCATCAAGTTTATATGATCAGTTACAAGATCTCTTTTATGATGGAAGAGATGATAATGAAACTATTATTAATACAGTTTTTGATTTTATAAGATCAAATCCTGAGAAATATGGATTTGATATTAACTGGTGGTCTGTGATTAATGATTTAAAACCTTAATATAAATTAGAAGTAAAAGATGAGATTTATCGTCGAACAAATATGAAAAATCCTGATATAGAGAATGAAAAGGATTTTATATTGATTAAAGAAAAAGTTCAGGATACTATTTTAGGTTATTCATCTGTACTTGAATATTACAACACTGATGATGAGTTAAAAAAATATGAAGAATCTAATAATTTTAATTGTATTATTAATCGTGAAGCTATGCGTCTATATAGAGATTTTAAACGTCAACAGAAAATTTTACAGGATATTAAAATTGTATAAACTTATTTTTAATTTTATTTATTTTTAGTTAATAAAATATCTTTAATTGTTTAGTAATTATTACCGAGCAATTTTTTAACTATTCAATCATGAGCAACACTTATTTTGATTTTTGGTATCAGATTTTTTCTTATCTAACCTTTAGAGAACAAGCGAAATTGAGAAGAACATGTAGATTATTTAACAATGTATGTTCATCTTATGATATAAACGAAGTAAAACATAGATTTTATGAGTTTGTAAACGAGTGGAAAGTGTTAATTTACAGATTCAAACTCACTAAGAATAAAAAACATATATGGATAAATCTTGAGGACAGAGCAGAAAAAAGAGAATTGATGAGAGACAAAGAAGTAAACTATTATTGTAGAGGTGTTAATCGAAATGTTTATTTGTATATATGTGAACTTGCTAAAGTAGAAGAGTTACATATGAAACATTGTGATCTTTGTAATTATTTAACTTATTGTGTTCGTTTAGCCAAATCATATGATTATTTACATGGATTTCTTCAAT